CCGGAATAAAGGCCAGTTGGCTCAAAGAACCCGGGAAAGACCAAGGTGGTGGTAGGGAGAGGAGGGATGTGCTTCAAAGGTTTGGCAGGCGCAGCTGCCTTGCCCTCCAGGGAGGTACTTGCCCTCAACTCGTTAAGACAGCGCGCTGCCGCCTTGTCAGGAGGGACTAATTGCTGCCCTTTGATACCACATCACAGCCAGCACTGCGGAACCTTTATCTCTGACAATCTCTCAGAATTTTATTTGTTCCTCTCAAACAGTTGAGCTGCAGTCGAGCTCCTCTCTGCTGGACTGGCTCTGAGCCCGGCTCCAGGCAAAGCTTGTAGGGGGGCTCAGGCGGGCGAGCTGCTCCCCTCGGCTGGGGAGGCGAAGCGCAGACGAGCTCCCTGCCCGGTACTGATCCACTCGGAGGTTTCAAAGGTCCCCGAATGCTGTCGGGCCGTGTCTGCCAGGAGGTTTGCACGTGAGAGCTGGGCTGAGCCTTTACGAGGAGACGTGCCGTGCTTAATGGCCTCCTGAAGCGGGGACTGGGGGGTAACCTGGTTTGTGTTGAGACTCATTTTCGTGGAAAAAGAGGATGGAATAAAGTAGGAAGTTAGTGGAGCCACAGGGGGTGGGGGAGTGGATCGCTACAGTACCTTTAGGGTTTTTTTAAGTTCTATTTGTTAAAGCACTTGCAGATAAATCAAATTATTTATGCCTGGGAGTTAAACGTAAGCAGTTTGAGGTAAGTAGATGGAGGGCAAACCCTGTGGGTAACGGCCGCCACTGCGTAACAGCCATCGCGCTGCATCCGACGCGGGATGTTTGCTGATTGTTTTTCACGTGAGCAGGTGCTGAGAACCACGTTTCACGGCACTTGTGAAGCGTGGGACGCATGCCTGCGGGTGTCCTGTCCCAGGAGGGAAAAAAAAAAAAATTCACAAGTGGCATGGATACGGAGAGGGAATGGGCACCGAAACGGCTGGAAAGTGGTGCCTGGGATGAACGAGGAGGGCTCCGGGTTCGGCGCTGCTCTTCCCAGCTGGCGAGAGCCTGATTAACTCGTTACCTCTCGCCGCCGGGCTGGCTCGGCTACTGGGCTCTTGAGCAAGTAGCCCTCGAATAGTTTCCTTTTTCCCCTCCCCAGCGCTGCTAGTGCCTGCCCCAGGGCAGGTTGGGGTTTGCCAGGCTCCTGTTAAAAATCTGCTGTGATCCGTAAAGCCAAGTCCCTCGGCTGCCTTAAACCCCCGATTCCACACAAACCTGCCTGTGCTGCCCACCCCCTTCATTCACCTGGGGTTTTTTCCTGAAAACCCCCCAGACCACGCAGCTGCCTGGAGCTTCTCCTGCCTTTGGCGTTTTTCCTTTTCCTTCCCTCTCAGGTATAGCAGCAGGAAAGGCTCAGCCGTCGCCTTCCCCTGCTCCCTCCTCGTCAGCCATTTCGCAGGCCAAGTGCTGACTACCAAAACTTTTCCCTGGGCTGCTCCAAAACTTTTAAGTTTCCCCCCCCCTCACTTGTAGCATGAAGTACATTCTTGGGCAGGGTGGTTTTTTTTTTCCCTGGTATCAGCCGACAGACCTGTGAGGAAACAAGTATTTAACGGAGCCTTTAGGCAACCCAATATATTTTAGCTCATTAATGCGCTGGGTGTAAGCTGTGCCTGTTACACCCATGACAGTGGGAGCTGCTCCCCCTCCACCAAGAATTTTTAACTATTTCAGCTCATTGAGCAGGGTTAGAATTAAAAACAAGGGGGGGGCAGGGGGGATAATAGGGCTAAGTCAAAGTTACAGCTAATTTTAATCAGACAACACCATGGACCAGTTGTAGCACCATGAAAATAATTCAAAGCGTATTCCCCGCTGGAATGCCGTTCTGAATATTTTCCAGAAATCACACAAAACCGTTACAGTTACAAGTAATTAAATTTATTAGACCTCTATATTTTTTTTTATAGTCAGTTTTGGCCAAATTTACAGCTTTCCTGGGGATTTTTTTGTTCGGTTTTTTTTTTTTGGTTTAGACACAAAAAAAAAATTAAAAAACATAAACCAAATATCACCAATTCATTGACCCCGCCCCCCCACTCCG